TCAGTTCCTTTGGGTCTATACCTAGGAGTGGAATTGCTGGATCACATGGCATTTCTCTGTTTAGCTTTTTGAGGAAGATCCTGAGGTTTTTGAAGAGCTAAGTTGAACAGGCAGTGGATGCCTTTCTGCAGCCACATTTGTGAGTGCCTTCAGGCAGCAGGCATCTAAGAAAACAGCCTCGCATTTTGTAATTCACTTCCCACCTCCTCTGGAGAGATCCAGTGACTGTTTACTGAGCAGAGGGAAGAGTTTCTCTCACTGGTCTAGAGGATCAGATCGCCCCACCCTGTTCTCTGGACACCTCCTGAAAAGCAAACTTCTTCTATCAAGGTTGGGGTTTAAGCATTAACGGGTGTTTGCCTCCACAGTCCTTGACACATGTAAGCTCAATTTGCACAAACACGTTTGGGAGGGATGGTTTGGAGCCCTCCAGACACCTGCCGAAACTGGGGGCGGGGATGGGGGCGAGTAAGATGTGCATCTTAATGACACTGGTCTGTGGAATTGCAGCTGATGGGGTGCCTTCCTGAAGGCCAGGGTTATAAGGGATTGCTGCATTCCTGGGTAAATTGGATCCTGATACTGGTGGAAGAAAATCTTGGCAGTATTTCTCATCACAGGGACACAGCATTCGACCTGGCACAGAGTAGAACTTCCCACCAGCTTCTGCATGTTTATTCTGCTTGCTATTGAACACCTGGGTATTTGGAAAAGTCTGGATTTTTCTTTTTGCAGTGCGGAAGCCAAACATCCAGGTGACAGGCTGAGTCTTCGACCTTTCACCTAGGTGTTTTGGTATCATACAAACTAAATCTGCGTTCCCAGTTGTTGCTTGGCGGTAGCCAGGAATTTAACAGGCACCTTGGGAGATTTAGTAACAGAGAAATTCCGAACAAACCTGTCTGGGCCACCTTTTGTCTCTGCATTGACAGGGTATGGAATGTGTGTGGAATCCGTTTTTTTTGTACTACACTTGAGAGTTTAGGCCATTAGCTTCGATCTACTCTGTTTCTGTATTGAAATGTTATTTTAAAAAGTCTGCAGTGAACAGAGTTTTGAAGCCCATGCTCTCCTATTCTGTTACTTGGCAGATGAAAAATAATGATGAATTCCACAAAGATTTGGCCAAGGGCAGGAATGAAAGCAAAGAATTGTGCTTGTGTGGGTCGGCACAGGCTTTCTTTTCTCCCTGGCTTTCGTGCTTGGTTTGCCGGAGAGAGACAGGCAGAGCAGCGACTACTGGACAGGTGTCCAGGGAGCTGTATTATTTTACTTCTTGTGTGTGTGTGAGATTTCTGCTTAGGTTTGAAAAGTGAAAATGAGAAAAAAGTAAACAACATTCATAATCCCACTACTTAATTGTATAAAGTGCATTGCTAACAATTCGTCGTATTTTCTTTCTGATTTTAGTGATGTTCATACAGTCACGTTTATGCCTTCAGGCCTGTAGGCTTCTGTAGGATTGTGCATGTGTTTGTATTTTTTATAAAATGGAATCATGAATAAACTTATTTGTATTCAATCTACTGTTTTTCATTTGTCAATAATTATATATATTGATATCTTACCAGGTCTGAACATAAGAATACCTCATTCTTTTTATGGCTGTATACTATTCTGCTGGAATGAACTGTGCATTAATTCACATAGGATAAACTATACATTGTTTATAACTCTCTTCTTTGATGGATTCCAGTTTTTTGCTGTTACAAACAGTGCTTGAAGCAACAGTTTTGTTCATGTGCCTCGAAGTAATTATGCTATTTTCTGTGGACTAGATTTCTAGAAGTAGATTTAACTGGGTCCAAAAAAAGTCTGCATTGCTAATTTTAATAGGTACCACGAAATTATTTTACAACAAGGTTTTTCTCAATTTATGTTCCCATTCTCAATTTGGTCTCTATTTTCCTACACATTTACCAAGTACTGAATAACATTGATCTATCTAATTTTTGTTAATCAGCTGGTGAATAACAGTGTCTCATTATTGTTTTAATTTGCATTTCCCTCGTCATTAATGAGGGCAGGCATCTTTTCATATGTTTATTGGGTATTACCTTCCCTGTTCTGTGAAAGCAAAGATGGGGGGGGGGTATGTGCATTTAGCCTAACTGGCAAAAGAATCATAGCACTGAAAATCTGAGGAATTTAGAAAAACTCCTTGAAGGGCATATCTTACATTTTTGTTGGGAAGATAGTTTCTTTAGGTTTGTACTAAATACTGATGTAGAAACAGAGTGATTGAAAACAACTCAAACTTTGTGCTTTTGTCTGCCATCTTTTTAAAGTTCCTGTTGTGGAGTCTCAGTTTGCTATTAAGCAACGGCTAATTAATGGTAGGATATCCCCTAGAAAGGTGTCAAACATTTTGAATGTTGGTGGCTTCCAAGGGCATCCATTTGGAAAATGCCACGGCTCATAAAATTTGGGATTGGTGGTATGTCAAGGAATCAAATACTGGAGCGATGGTGTAAGAAAATTAATATTAACAGCACTGCATGTGGCAATATTGATTGAGTACCAAGGTTTCTGGAAGGGCAGAAACATCCTGTTTGGTCAATGTGCTTCTGATTGTAAAAGCATTTGATAAATGTTAACTTATTAATATTTGTAGTCCATCTCCAGGAAGTAAATATTCAGGGAGCGCGTGTCCTTGAAGAGGGATCTTGCTTGGAATGCCGTGGCCCCAGTGAGAGACTCGAGCTGACCATATGCCCTGGGGTTACGAAAAGGGGAGCAGCATGCTGAGCTGCATATGCCAAGATTTAATGTCTGGGCCAGGGAGACAGTGTCCCCTCCCTGTGCAGTTCAGGTTCAACTCCATTTGGAATACACCATGTGCCAAATCTGGATCCAGGCGCAAGAAAGACATTGACAGTTTGGATGGGGTCCAGAGACAGGCACTAGCCGTGATTAAGGGCTTATGGGTATGACATTTGAGCGGGGGCTCAAAGAACTGAATATTTACAGCAGGGCTAAATGCTGGATTACGTGGCTTGGTGACGTCAGGGCCTGTGGCTATACCTAAGTTACCCGCCACGTGACTGGTTCCTCAGAGTCAAGGAGAGGACCATTTCTGATGCCCCTAAGAGCTTGGGGGAGGGGGTTTGTCTTTGTGGGCCCATCTGCCTCAAGACCAGTCAAGGAGCTCATCCCTGCCTCTCCCATGCTGTTAGCATGGCAGCTCCAGGGTAGCATGGGGGGGCCAGCATTTAGATTGGGAATTCCCATCACGCTGGAAAACTTAGCACCCACGTCTCCTCCTCCTTTAGAACACCCATCCTGCATGGAAGGTGCTTATGTCTTCTAAGGGCAGCCCTCGCCTCTTGTTTTGGTTCTCCTACAAGTCTGTGGCCCAGCCAAGAGCAGAAAGTGGGTCTTCTCTGACGCAGAGTACAGACTTTCCACTGTAGAGCAGCTGCCTTCAGATTCATGTCACCTGTAGCAGCGAGACTCAGCTCCCCATCACCAGCTGCACGACCTTAGACGCTGAAACAGCCTCCGTGACAGCAGCAGCTGAGCAAAGTGACTGCCCAGAACTGTCCTAACTCGCTACTTGTGTCCTGTTAGGAAGAAAAGAGTGCAGCCTCCATCCCCGTGGTCCTTCACGAGACTGTTAGTGGTGAGCGGCGATCCCTCCGCTCTGCAGCGATGGCTTGCACAGGACCGAGCGGCCAGGGTGAAGGCAGTGGTGCTGTCGCTGCTCCTGTCGCGTGGTGCCTCTGTCGGCAGGCTGATCGCCGGCGCCGCTTTGCAGAGTGGACACCTGCTCTGCCCTCGTGTTTTCACAATGCAGTAGTTACAAGATGGTTTTCTTCATTCTCTAGTTTAGTTCCTGGAATCACTCACGTGCTTGCGAAGGCTCTGCCTGTATTATCGGTTTTTATGTGACTAAGGCCCCAAACACTTGAGATGCCCAGGGCACCGTTCAGAAGGTCAGTTGAAATTCCTGAAATGATAGTTAAGGTTAGTCAGCCCTGGCTTTTTGCTTTTTCATTTCATTTCTCCGAAGTGCCTTGTCCAAAATATCTGTAAAGAATGATTTGGATAAAAATGTCAAAGCCTTGTACCCTGAAGATACTGAACGTTGCATTTTGTCCTGGTAAGGAAAACTCATGCTTGTTTGAAAATCTCAGTCTATGGAAATATATTTTAAAAGCACATCAGTCTGTTTGTGTATTGACAGACCTATGGGTGGGAATCACACTTATTTTCACATGTGCTGCTTATCTTTGAAGTCTCGAGGAGTTTGAACAGATGGATATACAACTTAAGTTTTGTAAGGATTCATTGCTCCCATATTTGGAATTCTGGGTATGTCTCTCAGGAACATGTGACATCTCTCCAGCCACCCGGAGCACCAGAAGTGGGAGAGGCAGGCCTGAGTTCCCAGCTGAAACTCCTTGAGACTTCCAGACACCACCTGGGGGCCTTGGGGAAAGAAATGAAGAGCTTTCAAACCAGAAGGCTCCAGGAATGACACTAGTGCCTACCTCATGCATCCTTGGGAGAATTAAGTTAGCTAAGGCAGGAAGGAGGGCTCAGAGCAGGGCCTGGCATACAGCAAGTGCTCACTAGTGTTGGCTCTGGGTGGTTCCTTGGTGCTTTAGGGACTTAGGGCTCCCAGTGAATGGCAAGCCTGGTGCTCAGCTGCCCAGGGGCATTGACGCTGTGCAGGCTGGAGTTCAGGCTCCCTGGGCCCTCAGCCTCTCCTCAAGGGTCTCTCAAATCCACCGTAGGGACAGACCTACTCTGCACCCCCCTGAATCCTCCTGCCCATCTGAATGTGTCAGTATCCGCTTCACAGGCATTCACCATCATGGCGATGATAGTTTTCATTTGTCACCGTTCTGAGTACTTATTATGAGGAACATTTGGAAATCAGGTGATTCTTTTCTCCCTTCCTGCCTCCTCCCACTTTTCTTTAAATCAAGAAAGCACAGTACTTCGTATTCTGTGCTGAGATTGTTAAATAACCACCTTTACTTCGGTCTCTCCAGGTACGAAACCAGCATTGGAGCCTCATCATGGAAAGCGTGGTCCCGTCTGACAAAGGCAATTACACCTGCGTGGTGGAGAATGGCTACGGGTCCATCAACCACACCTACCACCTCGATGTCGTGGGTGAGTTTGCTCCTCCTCGCGGTGGCGGCTGCACACCAGCCTGTCCTAGCTCGACTCATTTGGAATCATGAAAGCGAGTCTTGTTTCTCCCAAAAGTTTAAGGAGAATTGGTTTATTCTCACTGTTTTTTCGCACACGCTGTCATTCGAGAGGGATTCTCTGCCATTTGACAGGACTCTGTTTTCTGATTACCAGGCTGTTGAGCCTCACGGTGTCATCCTGTGTAAGATGCGTGGGGTATGAGATGTCTGGCATGCTGGAAGCTGAGATTACTCTGAAAAGTGTTAGCGTGCACAGGAAAAGGGTACAGATGCGCGGTAGGAGGGCTCTGTTTTTAAAAGAGAGGCAGCATTGCCCCAGGAGGGACAAGTGTATGATGCTGGCTGAAGAGTGAAGGGAGAGGTATGAAGTCTGAGCCTATAGCTGGCTGGAAAAAGGGCCCTTCCCTTCCCTGAGAAGAAAGCCCTTAGCAGACAGTGCCAGTTTGGTGTCTGTTCCGGGAAGCTGTTTCCTCTGTGAAAAGGGCACCACACATATGAGTTTAGAAGTACCTTTTGGTCAGAGTGCACAGATAAATAGGCCATTTTAATTAAACATCTTAAGGCCAAATTTCTTCCCAGGGTTTGCCTGTTACGATGAGGTTTTGTTGTAACTGATGAAGAAAGGGTGTTTTCTGCCTTGCTGGAGGATTGCTAACATGTGGAACTACACCTGGGACGTGTGACTGTCACAGGGATGGTGTGGGTCATGACCTCTTCTACGTAGGAGCCATCTTCTCTCTGTGTGGTCACATACCGTGGTTTGCTACCTGCCACCGTGAGCTATTTGGGTTTGCCCTTCTCCACGTGCAGGTTGCTGACTTCTGCCAGAGTCTCAACTCACAGTTCACCCTGGTTCCTTTTGCCTTATTGTGACTGTTGGTAATGCCACAAACACACGCCCAGCCACTGTGCCTCTGTCAACAACGTCTATCCTACGACACTACCCGTGTGTGCCCCTGCAACTATCTCACATGTGGATTTTCTTCTCCTTCAATGAAATATACTCTTTGAAGAGAGAGACTCCATAGATACTTGAATTGTCCAAAGAGCCATTAAAAGAAATTTCCAAAAGCTTGATTAACCAAATTGCATAGATTTGGTTAATTTAAATTTTAGGTTAACAAAATTAAACTGAAAACCGTTTTGATTTTCTATCAAGTTAAATGAAATTAAATTTACAAGTCACCCTGCCTTAGACAGCATGATACAGTCTTTACTTCCATTTGCGTATAAGCATTTAGTGAAAAAAGTATTTGAACAGTTCGGTCTTGTTATTCAGAAGCCTTAATGTGAAATTGGATAGGTCTTTGCATGAAGTTGATCCTGTGGATATTCATAAGAGTGAGTTTTAGAATGTCTTTTCTCATAGAAATATTTGTAGCATGTTTCTTAGAATTATTATGTTTAGATATTTTATAAGACAAACACAAAGAGAAGCAACACTCAGTTATGAGACCAAAATGGTTAACATTTGTCTTGGCATCGATGCACCATAAATCTGTCAATCAAAGAGCACACGACTTGGAATTTACCTTGGGCCTCGCGTACACTGAATTTGACATGAAATTGTTTCTATTTTGGTGCAGAAAGTTAGATTTGGGGCTAAAAGTTCTAAATACCTAATTTTGAAATTAAGTAATTTATTGTGGGAGAAAATAATTGTGCTGTAACAGTCTTCTGGGATCATGGCTTTATATAGGTCTACAAATCGTTCATTAAGATTGGCTGGGGCCCTGCCAGGAATCTGGGAGTCATGTCAGGGCCACTCCAGCCCGGGCTCTTGCTTAGAGCAGGTTTTAGGTTGAATTGTTATGTAAAACATTCGAAAGCCCCTCACCCCACCTCCCCTTTCGAGCTTTCTGGCAGCTCATCCCTGTGAAGCCCTGAAATCTCTCTTAGAGTTTAGGGTTGGGATTTGAATTGGGCTGCTGAATAATGGAATTGTGCTGTCTAATGTTAATCCCCTGGCAATCGGTCTTGTTGAAAAGAGCGTATGATTCAGTGGTGTAATGCAGAGGGAGCGTGGAGTGTATGGAGTAATGCAGAGAGAGGCCTGATTATGTCACAAATTTGGGAGATCGCCCAGCTACACGCGGGCCAATAATGACACAATGCTGGTTGGGAATATCCATTAAAGCTCAACTCCAATAATTTTCCAAGCCTTGAACCTTCTTTATAAATAGAAGCCAAAAGTCAGTGGAGTATAAGACATTTTCAGCAAAGATGGAGGTGTGAAATACTCTCATCTCTGCTCAAAACCCTGGTAATTGCTTTGAGAAGCACTAATAAAATAAGAATTGAGTCAGCTAAAGAGTCTCATGTAGACTTACAGGGTTGGCAGTCATTCTGAACATCTCGGCAAATGGAAACAAAAGGGATTCATGCTTAAGCAATGAATTTCTGGTGGCCCACGGGCTCGAATTTAAACATCGCTGTGTGAGCACAGCTTTTCGGCTACCTCTCTGTTTCCCAGAAAACCAGAAACTTTCCCAGTGAAAGTGAAGTCCTGTTCTTGTTCAAATTCTTCGAGGTTTTACTTTTGTTGCTGTGATACATAGATTTGTGGTACAGATATTACGAAGCATCAACATGGGTGAGATCTTTTTATTGAAATTCTTCCTTGGAAAAGGCATTCCCATAAGCACTTTAATGTAAAAGCCGTGTAATTTAAGTGACATTCTTGTGTTCTGGAATTAAACAGCGGGCCATTGTTGTGTGTGAGGGAAATGCTTTCATTTATGGGAGCCCTTTTAGGAGCCTTGCTTGATCCTCATTAAAATTGACACCATTACTTTTCAGCTATTTACTGCAAGGGAAAATTAGTGTGGCGCTCTGCATTTCGGTAATTGTCGCAATAACAGAATGGGGTCCCCTAAAGTAGCTGGCTCCGGGAGGTGGTAAGTCTTTGCCACCGTTCATCAGCGAATGGTGCTGAAGGCCTGGATTCTGACGGGGCCCTGCCACCAAGAAGCCACAACCTGGGACAGGTTATTTAGCTTTTCCAAGTCTCTGTTTTATCATTGGTACAATTGGAGTGATGATACTTCCCTCCTTCCCGCAATGGTTATACTCATTTCCTAGGGCTGCTCTAACACGTTACTACAAACTGTTTGGCGTAAAACAGCAGAGATCTATCCTCTTATAGTTCCGGAGCCTGAGAGTTCAAAATCAAGGTGTTGGCAGGTTTCATGCCTTCTGGTGGCTGGTGGCCTTCCTTGGCTCGTAGACGCGTCACTCCAACCTCTGCCTCCATCTTCTCACGATCGTTTTTCTGTGTGTGTCTCAAATCTCCCTCTCTTTCTCTAGTGAGGACACCTGTCATTGGATTTAGGGCCCACCCTAAATCCAGGATGAGCTCATCTCACTATTTTTAACTTATTTGCAACAACCTTTTTTGCCAAATAAGGTCACGGTCATAGGTTTGGGGGGTTAGGACATGGACGGCCTTCCTGGGGGCCATAATTCATTCCACTGCAGCGGTTGCGAGGCGTCATTGGAGTTAGCGGATGAAAACATCCACCTGGCATGTGGGTGGCCAGCAACAGATGCCAGTTTCCTCCCTTCCATACCAGGATTCTTTTGAGGGTTAGAAGGCATCTTTCATAGCTTTTATGAGACTCAATCAGAAGTCTTATTCGACAGATAGAATGCCATGTGGGACCAGCAGAGCTGGCCAGTGGCTGACATTCACGTCTCCTGCTGAGACTTCCACCTCTGGTCAGTGCTGTGGTCAAGGCCGTCCCGAGGATGACATGGTTGCTGGACTTGCAGGAGAGCGTCATGGAGTTTGAGTCCTTAAAGTTCACTGAGCTGGCCTCTTGACCTCCACCTGTGCTCCTCACCCCACTTTAGGGTTGAGGAAACTCAGGTTCCACTGGGATAAGTGATTTGTTGAGGACTTGGAGAAGGTGCCCTGGAGCTGGGGCCTCGGCCCGGGTCGTCTCGACGCCCACCGGGACGAATGCTCCTCGCGCTGCGTCCCGTGGTGACTGTGGTGTGGACCAGCGGCGGCTGCTGCAGCCAGACTCTGAGAAGCTGCTGCCGCTCCCTGACCCCACTTCCAGCTCTTTGCTGCAAAACACAAAAGCGTGAGAGAGAAAGATGGAAGTCTTCAAGACACCAGGTGCTCTTCCTCACTCACGTAGACCCTTTGGCTTTGAATCATGAACTTCTGCTCCTTTGGGGTGTTGCAGGTCTGCATTTCCACAGATCGTCGGATAAGCTTTCCACCTTGCATTTGATACTTTGGGGAGCAGAGTTCAGTGGAGGTGCCAACAGTGCCTCTGGATTTGCCATGGCCAGCTGTGTCTTCTCCCTTATCAGTTTAACTTTCCAGAAATTTGTCCCTGCCCTCTGCCGTCCCCTCTGAGTGACAGCTGTAAGCAGCAGACAGTGTCTCAGGGGAGGGCTGGGGGTCTGTTGACCACGAGTCACTTCTGGCTGGGTGGAGACCACTGAGGCGTCACCACCAGCCCTGACTTGCCTGGCGGCAGACCAGGATGGCGCTGTCGACTAGCCCTTGACATATCCGCCGTATCGCGGCTCCGGACGTGATGGGACATAGCCGGAAAGCCCAGCGGAATCTGTCCCAGCCCTGACTCCCCCTCAGGTGTGTGTTCAGGAGGAACGAAGCGTCTTTTACTCCAGGCACTGACTGATAAGCCTGACTGTGGAGTTGACACCTGGCATTGACCTGGCAGCCCGTCCCCAGCGGGAGAAGGAGAAATTGTGCAAATCATTTACTGCTTGGGGCAGCCTCTGTCCTGAGGAGACAGAGGCCCTAGGGTGGTCATAGAGCAGAGGAGAAGGGACAGAGGCAAGCCAGGGTCCCTCAGACCACCCTGCAGTGTGAAGTTGGGACTCTCTTGTGGGTTTGGAACAAAGTAGTAGCTAAGTAAATGAAGTGGTGGTGGCCTCATTAATTAATTAACTGGTGAGTTTATTACCAAAGCTGTCAGA